TAACCCTATCCCTAACCCTAACCCCAACCCTAGTCCTACCATACGCCTAACCCTAATTTTTAACCATAAAACTATTCGAGATTACAATACTACTAACAACTTAACAAACCTATTTTAGGAAGAGTCTATTATCGGACATCCTGCGTTTAATAGTTCGATTTTAAAATCTCGGTTGTGAAATTACTTTAGCTACAAAAGAAGATTTTGAAATGCTATTAATTTTAAAACAAAAGGAAGTATTTTTTCTCTATTTTACGCTTTCGCTTAATTAAGTGCATATATCCTTTTGTTTAAATCGTTTTTTTTTATATTGTAAATTGGTTTTACAATGATGAAGAAAAATATTAATTTAATAAACTTTCATCGTAAAATATTTAAGCTGCCATTTTAATTAAACGAAAATACTGACTTAATCGTTACTTTAGTATCCAACCGGAAAAGTGTAACTTTTAACTGCCGGAAACGTTTATAGTTCAGCCGGAAATGTCTTACTGAATCTTCAGCCGGCAGAGTTTTGACTGCCAGCCGGCAGATTTTTTACTTTCAGTCGGTACAGTGTTGATTTTCATCCGGCAGAGTTTTGACTTTCAGCCGACAGAGTTTTGACTTTCAGCCGGCAGAGTTTGACTTTCAGCCGGCAGAGTTTTGACTTTCAGCCAGTAGAGTGTTGACTTTCAGCCGGCAGAGTTATTACTTTCAGCCTGCAGAGTTTTGACTTTCAGCTAGTAGAGTGTTGACTTTCAGCTGGCAGAGTTATTACTTTCAGCCGACAGAGTTTTGACTTTCAGCCGGCAGAGTTTGACTTTCAGCCGGCAGAGTTTTGACTTTCAGCCAGTAGAGTGTTGACTTTCAGCCGGCAGAGTTATTACTTTCAGCCGGCAGAGTTTGACTTTCAGCCGGCAGAGTTATTACTTTCAGCCGGCAGAGTTTGACTTTCAGCCGGCAGAGTTATTACTTTCAGCCGACAGAGTTATGACTTTCAGCCAGTAGAGTGTTGACTTTCAGCCGGCAGAGTTATTACTTTCAGCCTGCAGAGTTTTGACTTTCAGCCAGTAGAGTGTTGATTTTCAACCGGCAGAGTTTTGACTTTCAGCCGGCAGAGTTATTACTTTCAGCGGGCAGAGTTTTGACTTTCAGCCGGCAGAGTTTTGACTTTCAGCCAGTAGAGTGTTGACTTTCAGCGGGCAGAGTTTTGACTTTCAGCGGGCAAAGTTTTGGCTTTCAGCCGGTACAGTGTTAATGTTGAACCGACATAGTGTTAATTTTGAACCGGCACAGTTTTACTTTTCAGCCGGCACTGTTTTAGTCAGCAGCCGGCATGGCGTTAACATTGAGCCGGCCGGGCGTTAGTTCTAAAAAAGATATTAATCGCCACTCCCATATACTGGTCGACGGGTACCATGTTTTTAAATTTCCCCGGGGGTGAAGCTGTCGAGCGGTGGGTAAGAAAACTATTTTACTAATACACAGTACAGATGTGAGATGGTGAGGGAAGGGGGGGGGGAGGGGGAGGTAGGGGGGAGTGTGGAAAGAAATGACTGAGAGATAGGACATAAAGACAATGAGAGATAGAGAGAAAGATAGAATTAGCGAAAGAAAAGAGAGGGATAGAGTAAAAGAGAAAGGGGGAGAGCTCAAGAGAAATAGAAGGGAGAGAAAGAAAAGATTAGAGAGAGTGAGAGAATGAGCTATTTAGAGAGAGGGGATGTTGATTGGTTGAGAAAGATGGACTAGAAAAAAGCGAGAGAATAATAAGAACAACACATACATTAATAATACTATCACTTGGTAAGAAAGAAACGTAGAAAAGGCCAATGCATAGCATGTGTACAAGGCAGATATACTAACAGTATGTCATAAAGTCGTTTCGCAGAAGTTATAACCGTGGGAGGAGATGAGGACTGAGCGAGGGGGTGGAGGAAGGGGGGGGGGGGGGGTCAGTGCATTTACACTAATGGGTGTTTGGCAAGTATGACGACAACAGCTCCAGTAATGAGGTCATCTATTTAGTGACGTTGACGTCCACAACAAGCTGTAATGACGTGTTATCTATTTTTGAGTTACTACCACGTGATTTGTGAGATATTTTTAGCAGCAAGCTTGCGGGGTGAGGAGACTTCAATGTGCTGCTGTTCGTTTTTTAAACTGTTGAATGCTATACGCTGATACCACACGCCTAAGGTTTACTTAGGCTTTGTGTTGATAAATGTTCCATTTGTTTTAAGTCAAGTGTATTTCCATTTGTTTAGACGTTATGTTCAAATGTGGAAAAATTCGCAACGGAAAACTACGCACAAAATAAAGTGCATGTTCACTATGTTAAAAGTCATTTATTGTTTATAAGTGTTATCATTATAAATTCTCGTTCGTGCCCAAGACACATGGGGTAGATGAAGTAGAGTTTAACTGCTTCAGAGACCTCGGTATATGAAGGGATAGTGTGGTCAGCACTATGCCTAGCCGCCTTTGTTTCCCTAACGTGAGTTAGGTTCCCCTCTGAACTGATTTGAACCCGGATTCGAACTCGAGACACTCGAGTTAACAGTCTACCTCTCTTCCGCTAGGAAGGCCAAGCTATCCTTGTTTAGATATATATTCCATATGCATTGTTTCTTTCCTACATCTCTTCGGGGAAGCACCACCCTTCCTCCCCCCGATCGAAGTATAATGTCGAGTTTATAGCGGAAAAACGCAGTATGTCCAAAACACATAATCTCGAGAAAAAGGAGTTTATAAATCTCATTCCAATATTAAAATAGTGCAAAATATTATGTTTAAAGATTCATCAAATATTTGCATTCTACTTTTTTGACATAGTACGTGAGTGTTCTTGTAGCTTGTATTATTGACAATATAAGTAGAAATGTACATCGATTTCACAAAAAGTGGACATATTGCATTTGTCCTCTATACACTCGATATATACTTTTTACTAGTGTCCGCTCCCTAGCCGAAAAATTATACTTCAAACATCAAACAACCTTTCTTAGAAATACACAACACCACTTTGTAAGTAAAAAAAGTAAGTTTCCATTTCAGACATGACGGTCTATGGGGCAAGTGAAGTAGAGTTCGCTTGTTTCTGTGACCTCAGCATATGAAGGGATAGTGTGGTCAGCACTATGCCCAGCCGCGTTTACTTTCCCTAACGTGAGTTAGGTACCCATCAGAGTTGGGTGTACTCAGGGACAGTCTACTGACTTGAACCTGGATTCGAACTCGAGACTTACGAGTTAGCAGTCCAGCTCTCTACCGCTAGACCACTCCGCCCCATAACACCACTTTGGGTCACCTAAAATGGTAGTAAAGGTAGGGGGTGAGGTCCCAATTCACAATAGGTAGATTGATCCCTTACAACTTCCGGCGGAAGCCCTTCGCCCCATTTCACCCTTCTCACACCATTTACCTCTGCCCAGCCCCATATATCTCCGTCTAGACCAGGGGTCTCCAAACTACGGCCCGCGGGCCGGATGCGGCCCTCGAAGTCTTTTCATCCGGCCCGCGGAGATCTTTTTGTCCAAGGAAAAAATCATTTGTTGGTGATGGCTGAGGAACTTTGTCCAGAAAAATCAAAGACATGCCGGGAAGAAACTGGCCCCCGAACTGAAATTTAGTAGTTAATGCGGCTCTCGGACTGAAAAGTTTGGAGACCCCTGGTCTAGACCAACCAACTACTCTAGTGATCTCACACCACGATCGGGTTTTCCCGAATCTTCTTACAAGTCTCCGACCGAGTGGGAGAAAAAAAATTACATAACGCAGATGAAAAAAAATCATAAAATCGCTCCCAGCGCTGTTCCCCTGGTCCGAAATCGACGCTGTCCGACATTTTTATAAGTACCGGTTGGTCAATTATGCGATTTAAAAACGAATCGAAGTGACCGGTTTATCGCCGGGTCCGGCTCAGCTAATGCGTCTGGGGTATCTCTATAGAGAAACGCGTGCCGTTCAATAAAGAATTTGTTCAGGACTAAATCGTGCTTAGTGTGGGGGGAATCATTTCATGTTTTCTAGCGGCCTGGTACTATTCCACGAGACAGGTCGAGGTCTCCAAGACACCGAGATTACGTTGCTATTGGAAACCAAACGCTTAGCTAGAAAATATTTTTGTTAGTTTTTTTATTTTTTTACTTTAAAATATAAAATATGCTTTTTTTCCTTCAGAGTGTAGTCTGGTGTGTTAGATATTTAAAAATGTGTCTTGAATTTATAGAGTAAATACCATCTTGTACGATGTATTTTTATTCGAGAAAATATAGTGGGGAGAGGGTAAAGTAATATGTATGTCTTGTTGGCATGTCAGGTAGCCTACATATCATAAGGACATAAACACACAGCATTTGCTATGTCATATGCGAACATTGAATAGCTTAGACGTACGATTATGTTTAAACGGTGACATTTTGTCTGAGATCTTTTGTCTTGGAACCGTTTAAACACACGTCCAGCTCAACATTATGCCTAAATTTAATGGGATTTTTTAAAAAAAAAAATTATTTTTTCTGAAAATATAATCATTAAAATCATGATATTAATATATTATTATCAGTTACAATATTTCAATAAAAACAATATTCATTTAAACAGTAGTAACATTCTCTATTTTTTTGTCTTTAACAATACATACTAGCATGCATATATATATATACAATTTTAAACAGGCGATTCCATTTTATGTAAAATTATTTGAACATTACCCTAACAAAACAAAAACATACGTATGTTTTTACTAGACGTTTTAACAAAACAATAACAACGATCATAACAAAACAATAAAAAAATCTGTGACTTTATTCCTCAGGCGGCCCTAACTACACCATAACAAAACAATAACAAATCTATTTTATTCCCCAGTCGGCTCCGTATGAAATAAGACAGCCCTAACTACACCATAACAAAACAATAACAAATCTATTTTATTCCTATGGCGGCTCCATGTGAAATAAGACGGCCTTAACTACACCATAACACAACAATAACAAATCTATTTTATTCCTCAGGCGGCTCCATGTCCAACTTCATCAGCTACGGCTCCGGCTCTCTGCCCTACGTGGAAGATCACGTGGTCTACAGCAAGACCATGTACGGCCTTGACCTCGGCGCATGCGCACACATGTGCCTGTCCCAGACGACCTTTGAGTGCTCCAGTTTTGACTTCTCGTTCGTTGACCGCGCGTGCCAGATGAGCCGTTACGTGGCTTCCAGCCTGGGGGGACTGGATACTGAGCACATGCCCACCTACAAGATCATGCACTACGAGAAAAAAGGTGAGTAGCTTTAGTGGTTGGTGAGTTTCTTCCAGGTATCTCTTTATACGAACAAAATGGAATTTATATAGAAAACATAATTATACTTTTACCAGTGTCCGCCCCCCCCCCCCCACTCCCCCGCCACCCCCGGAAAATGTAGTCTTCCCCCCCCCCTCCAGAAAATATCAAGTGCACCACCGGAGAAAAATTCTGGAAGAAACACTGGGGGGGGGGGGCTTTTCTTCTTCTTAGATTCCTAATTTTAGTGTTGGAAAGGATTCCCTCCAACACAATTAAGTATACGTGTCAACTGGTTATGCGCCATTAAGGCCATTGACTCCGATTTCAGCCTGCTTTTCTTTTTGGATTTGCTTCCATAGCCTTTGTCCAACCAAGAACAAACTACAAGGCAGCAGTTGTTTAATTTTGGAGTTGTCTCTCCTAGAAGAGTGGCTGTCCCCAGCTATCGAGTCTCATCTGCCCGAGGGTGCGAACTCGAGACTTTTCGGTTTAGCAACCATGAGCATTACCGACTCGACCACGCCGATTGATCATGGCTTAAAGGCTTTGACTGAAAGACACCGAGTAGGTCTTGGTAATGTTTCGACGTGGGCGTTCGTCTTCTAACCCGAAAGTTTCGAGTTCGAGTCTCTGACTAGAGTTGTAGCACGTCCATGAGTCCACCCAGCTTTGATGGGTACCCGTCTAAAGTTAGAGAAAGTAAAGGCGGCTGGGCATAGTGCTGACAACACTATCCCTTCTAATATCGAGGTCGCAGATGTTACGTCCGGGTTCGATTCAACTCAACGACGATTCGTGACACATATGGTATACTTTTATTCTGACTCAATTCTTCACATAATAGATTAGCCCTCGCCCTAACCGCTACCAACTAACCCTGACAAACATTCTCTCCAGCTTTTATACCGCATTCGACCTTGGGATGACAATACATAAACACACCGGGGTTAACAATACTCTAGGGTGAACTCAACTCACACACGCATTTTACAAGGGTATTTTACTTACTTTACTCAGGTCTTAAGGAGCATGATCAGATCTAGATCGCTTTGCCATGAAAATACTTGATAATTGTGTGACCTTGTCTTTCAAGTGGCATGGCCTTGATATTTGCTGCCTGGTTAGATTACACCCCAACCACATCCCCCCCTCTTCCATCTAGCAGAAATGTATTGTAAATTTAGTTTTCTTCTTTTATTGGCGGACAAGATTTTCCATACTAAAATTGTCCATCTAGCAGAAATGTATTGTAAATTTAGTTTTCTTTTTTTTTATTGGCGGACAAGATTTTCCATACTAAAATTGTTTACCCTATACCTAGAATGCATCAACACCGGCTACATTAACCGCATCAACTCCAACAGATTCCTTACATAAACAACTGCGGGTCTAATCATAAAAAAATTGAGCTATACTCTCGCCATCAAATACAAACATTCTGAATTCAACCCGCTCCGGTAATACAAGATTATCTGTTCCACTATTCCTCTTTTTAGCAATAATTTTAAAACTTTATTTTTTTAAATTCATTGCCTTCTAATGAAGAGATTCCGGTTTCTATGGCAACCATAAAAATACCAGATTGCGCATAAAAAATTATCAGGATCTGTTTTTTTTCCATCAAGTTTAAGCCGATATAAGAACAGTTATAAAAATAATCCGGTTAAATTAATATTAGTATTCTGAAGCTTGGTCGAGATTTTATAGATGTATTGAAGAAAAACACGCAAATAACTTTCCTCTTTTGTGGTGTAGATCGTAATGACAGCTAGGGGAACTCTGTGAAGATAATTCCTGAAAATGTTAAAAGCATTAGGTTTTTCTTCTTCATCTTCGTTCTTAATTTTAATGTTGGAAAAGACTCCCTACAACACAATTAAGTATGACGTGTCTACTTGTTATGCGCCATATAAGCCGTTGACTCCGATTTTAGCCTACTTTTCTTTTTGGATTTGCTTCCATAGCCTTTGTCCAACCAAGAACAAACTAGAAGGCAACAGTTGTTTGATTTTATAGTTGTCTCTCCCAGAAGAGTGGCTGTCCCCAGCTAACGAGCCTCATCTGCCAGGGGTTCGTGCTCGGGACTTTTCGATGTAGTAACCATGAGCTTTACCGACCCCAACCAACAACAGCATTAGGTTGAAACTGTAACAAAGATTTAAACAACATCGGGGATGGGGGAGAGAAACCGAAACAGAAACCCGCGCTTTAAAAACATTCCTGTACAACTCATTGTATTGTATTGTGTTAGAATTCTATTAATACAAATTTCAGCCTTTTAAAAAAGTTACGCTCAGGAGGTGGTTATCGATGTGGCGGGGGGGGGGGGGGGATTTTTTCAAAGTAGTAGAATTTTTAGAGCTAATTATAACGCCCTCACCCAGTTTCGTTTGATCATTGTAGTATTGACCAACACATAAACGGGTGCACTCTCATAGACACAAATAAAGGATTCCATACAGAATTTCTTGCATACATCACGTCAACCTACACTCCGACCCTCCCTACACCCTCCCCCATCCCAGAAGAAAATAGATTAAAAATATATAATTTTATTTACAAAATATATACTTTAACCAGTGCCAACTCCCTCACCTTTCCTTTCCCCCGGGCAATGAAAATATTACCCCCACCCCTCAAAGAAATACCACCCCCCCACCCCACCCCTCAAAGAAAAATATTTGAAAGATATACTGTTGACATACCCTTGAAACTCATACTGGTTGCTAGAGCCGTCAGTATTCTCCCTTTGTTGTGAACGTTTTATTAAACTCACACATGTGAAATAAAATAAATCAGCACGTCCAAATAACCCTAACCTCAATCAGTGTTCAAGTAAATTAAAAAAGATGCACATTCATTAACACGTTTTTCTTAACTCAGCTTCGCGTTTGTTTGTTGTTAAAATTGACATCGAAAATTAGCCCACTTCTGATTGCTCTAGAGATCTGAAATTTGGCATGCAGGCTACTTTCGCCTAACAATTTCAGATGCAATCATAAAAACTAGCAATTAGAGACCGTAATTAGCTTAATTTAATTACGCCCCAATGACCATAAAATTGAGGACATGATTTCTAAAGATACCGACAAGACTGGAGGCCTATTGACACAGTTACTTCGGCCCCAATCGATGTGAGCGCGCTGGCCGTGATCGTATAGTGGTTAGTATAGTGGTTCGAATCCTGGTCGCTCAAGATTTTTAGTCCGTGTATTTATAAACACTTAGTCAAGTCATACTTAATCAAGTCATTAGATAAAGTAGAAAATAAACTATATAAAAAACTTTTTTAAAAACCACGTTTTTCATGTGTAGCAACGGACTAAAAAGGAGAAAATAAAATACTTAAAAAAAACTTGTCAGTCATCACAAGAACCTGCACAGCTCGAGGAAGCACTAAAGAAAAATTTATTTTCTACTTTTTAGTCCACAAGAAAAACGTGGTTTTTTAAAAAGTTTTTTTTCAAGTATTTTATTTTATGATCGAATTAGTCTCGGCCTCGAAATGACCAATACCCGTTGTATAATACAGCATGGTGGTACTGAATTACTTATATTAAAAATGAAACTCGTATTACGGACTTAATTAGTTCTTTTAGAGATCATCTCTGCAGTACGTAGGTCCCAGTAGGATGAAGTATGGGGCAGTAGATTGAAGTTGTGGAGTCAGTTTAAAAAAAATCTTTATAAACCCAACTGACTGGACCAGTGCCATTGAGAGAGGGACTTTCGTACAGTGAAAGGGATTCTTATTGCAGACTTTTCCCTGGGGGGTGGGACTCTCCTAGAATTTTATGAGCCATCTAATCTAAGCATTGCTCCAACAACGGGGCCATTACAGCATACTAATGATATGCTTCTATTCACTTGGGCTGATGAAGTGGGGGGGGGGGGGTGGCTAGGGAGTTGGATGGTAGAGTTACGTAAAAAAAGAATTGGGTTACTTCTACCAGTGTTATTTTGTTTTTACTTTTTAAATTTTTGTTAACAGAAAGCAAATAAAACTCAAGATACATACTGACTGGTTTTCTATTTAAACAGGGTTTAAATATTTTATTTGTTTTAAGTTTTAGCATGTAAACATAAAAATAGCAGGACGCAGGTATAATTAAATCAGTGCATCGTCTAGAGAAGATTTCATTTTAAAAAATGTTTTTAAATAATAAGAGAAATTGAATTTATATCGATAAAGCTAGGAGAATGTTAATAAGATATTTTCTGCTAGATGATTATCAGTATTCTGCCTTTGTCTTTTTTTTATTTAGGGATGGGGAAATTCCTCGAAACTAATATCGAATTTTGAAACTTTACATAAACATAAAAGAACTCGTTTCATTTGTAGTGATCAAAATTGATTGATTCCGTTAACGGTTGGCGAGTTTTAGAAGAGGCAGATGAATTTTAAACTCAAGCCCCAGACTAACAAATGTGAAGCTTGGCGCGCTGAAAGTGGTACCCCCGGGGGGAGGGGGTGAAAGGTGAAGGATGCGACAAGTGACGGAGATCGCCCGAGGCTGATCCGAGGTTCCAGTGACGAGTTCCAGAGTTTGACGCATAAATCCTGGTAATGGCATCCACAGACATAGTCATGTGAGGTTTCAGGTCATGGAGTGCGGGGGAGACTTTGGACGCCAGTCTGTGTCAGGTTCTGAAAGTCCACACGCGAAGAACATGAGTCTGTTAATCCGCACATAAGAGTTTAGTATATGAGACTTATCAAAGATAATCCGACGTTCCATTGTCGAACGTATTTATTATACATTTATATTTGGCGGACAATTAACTCTTTTTAAAAGTTAATCCACGAGAGGGTGTGGTCAAATTGTAGAGTATTTGACTGTCAACCTGAGATCATCGTGTTCGGATCCTTGACTTTACTGCGTAGAATATCCCTGAGTCCACCCAGCACTGATAAGTACCTGATACACGTTTGGGAAAGTAAAGGCGGGTTGGCATAATACTGAAAACACTATTCCTTCATTTTCCGTGGTCATTTA